ACAAGAGTGTCTTTGTTTACCTGGGGCTTCTGGGCCACAGTAGAAAATCCAATAATGTCATTTATCCTGGAAGCTTTGAGTCATATGGTATCCGCTTGATTCCCAGAGAAGCTGGAAACTGTGGTCAGCCCCATGAAGCCCCACTGTAGAGCCTCAAAAAAAAAAAAAAAAAAAAAAAAAAAAAAAAAAACAAACAAAACAAAAAACTGGACACCAAGACTGAGGTGAGATTCCCTGCTTGTCAATACTCCATGCATATTGTTACATATCATTGCCAAAAGAGTGGTGCTGTCCATGACTCCACTGGGAGAAACAAATAGAATCTCCATGCTTAAAGCTTTCCTGTATTTTCCCCACTGGACCTCTTCCCTTGGCTGATTTTAATCTGTATTTGTTCACTGTAATAAACTATAACCTTGAGTAATAATTTTCAGTGAGTTCTGTGAGTCCTTATAGCAAAACTAGGGTTAGTCTTAGGGAATTCCCTAACTTCCAATTGATCTTAGTAGTGAGGGGTAGCCTCATGGACCCTGTCCTAACTTCACATACTGCTGTATTTCTGCCTTCCAAACCTTGTTTGTTCAATCCTTTCATCATGGATTCCCTTGTGAAATAAATACCTCATTTTAACTAGTTTCCTCTTAACTCAGTCCCAGAGATTTTTAACCAATGCACTGATAGGCCAAAATAGTTGTATCACTATTGATAAGCCAGAAACTTAAAACAACAAAATTTCACTTTTAGAAAAGGCTAGGAAGATCATTCATTGCAGCCCTTCCATTTTCTAAATGAGCAGCCTAGTGGTTAAAGAAAACTATAAAGTCTTTTATAAATGATAGTTATAAAAATTCTTCTGACTCCCAGACTGGCATTCCTCAATCAATGCCTCATTATCTGTAAATCAAATACAAATTTGGGATTAGTGGCTAGAATCATATGTCAGTTTGTTTCTGAGTCCTTACCAGCATGGTTGGAGTTTGTGTTAAATTCACTACAAGGAGCACTGGCTGATGTTTTGAGGGGTGATGGTTTTATCACTGTCGTCTGATTCTCAGAGTCCTTGTCATCTTGTGGTAGATGAGAGTCTGCAGAGCCAGGTCCCACAACTGGTTTGCTCATATTCTCCAACTTGTGGCACACCATTTGGCTTCTGATCCTTTCTTTAATAATAAAGAAAAATGTTAAAACACATTGCCTTTGTTTTCAACTGTATTTTAACATGATATGGAGAGGAATCTTTAAGAAAAGAATATATTTCTAATATATATATATATATATATTTCTAATATATATATATATATATATATATTTCTAATATATATATATATATATATATTTCTAGGCAGTGACATACCAAATGAAGGGCAATGGTCTGCCCTAGTTGTGGACCAGAAGGGAGTGTGTTGTCTGTAGAAAGTTTAAAAACAATAGTAATATCGACAAAAGCTCTGATTGCTTTTTACTGTTACCATACATTGGCCATTCCTACTGCCCCTGCCTTGGAACACCACTGTTCTTGGATTGGGTCTCTTGTTCAATTAATTCGTAGGTTCAGCACTGTTTCAGATCTACTGAGTCAAGTTGGAATTCTAGCATGTGATATGAAAACTTGTTCCACATCTTTATTGTGGTCTCCCAAGTCCTTAGTAATGATCCTTGCACTCAAGTCCCAGAGCAGACATATGTTTCCCTTCTTATGCATACGTTCCTTCTGTTGTGTTCTTTTTCCCTGCTCCCCCACCTCCACTACCTCCTAGTTCTGTTCCCTTTAAATTCTGAATATTTTGATTGCTTATTTTTATATATTTACATTATACCCTTACATTTGGTATCTTGTACACTGCCTATATAGAAATAAATTTTATTCCCTTGTTTTTGCTTCTCCCTTAGATGAAAAGAAAACGTTTTAGGAAAAAGAAAACCAAATAGAGATTGTCATTGACATCATATATTCCTAAGAGATCATAAGAGCTAAGATACCTTTTGAGTTTGATACATCCATTTCTCCTACTTCAGTTGAAAAAATATGTTGTTTTGTGACTTTCTTTCTTGTTCTTCTTAATTTACTCATCCTGCTGGCTTCAGTCTCATTACCTTCATCTCTCGTATTCTGTAATAATTAATAAACAAAAGGCCAAATAACAGATCATGCATGCAACTAAATTTGGATGTCAAGAAAGCATGGCAATTGCATAGCTAAGTTTTAAAGTGAATATAAGAGATTTTTACAAAGAGGTAAATTTTGTCACTTCCATATGCTCTTGAATAATTCAAAATTTAAAAGTCTAATATTTTGCTTACAGTCTGGATATTCTACAGTCCTTTTATATGGGTATAGAAGTGTCATTAAATAAATTAAGATCTTGTCCAACTAGTGAAGATTTTTATGTTTATTTTTTACCCTGGGATATTTTATATTATCCATTCCTAAAAATATTTTACCAAATCCATTTCAGCTTCAAAGTCCTCTTTTTATGACTTCCATCTTTTTTAGGATCTCAAACCTTTTGGCCAGAAGCACAAGTACCTGAAGAATTAGATTTTATTCTCTCTTTTTTCTTACACTCATCCTTATTGTATCCATATTTACTTGAAAAAAAAAGCAGTTGCATTCATAAAATACTATTTTGTATTTGTAAAACAAATATTATACTTAAATAGTTTTATGGCTTGGGAAAACCTAAAAAAACATTTTAAAACAAAATAGCCTAAAAAAATAGCCTAACTTTTACAATCTAGTTCTCATCCTTGACAGAATTTCTTGATATACCTGTCGAGGACTATTCCCAGCATGGAGCTGGGCGGTGAAGCAGGGGCTGAGGGGTGAAAAGCTCCTGCATCTCTACACTAACAGTGGGAAGAATCACCCCTGCAGTCCCAGGACACAAAAGCTAACACTGGAAAAAAAAAAAAAAGAAGAAGAAAAAGAAAAAAGAAAAAGAAAAAAAAGAAAGAAAACAAAAAAAGCTGACATTGCTGTTTTTTGTTTTCTGCAAACCCTTTTTGTACTTTGAAGGAGGAGGAAAGGAGCAGGGATAGAGTCAATAACTGTAGTCTAAAATGTTTTGAGCTATTGTCTTTTTGAAGAGCAGGTTCTGAAAGTTTCCACATCTGGGAGCAAGTTATAAATATGCGTCCAGAGTGGTTACTGGGGAACAGCTGCACACATTTGTCGATACCAATTCACTCTCTAAAAGCTAAAATAAGTAAAAAGAATTGAACTTGTATTTATATGTAATTATGATACATTGTTATTATTGTTACTATGTTTAAAAAAGATATTTCATAGGATAAAATCTTTCATGTCATCTTAAAATTTCACATCTTAGAATATTGTGGTTCCTTTTACCCCAGATAATTTTATATTTGGATGATGTGATACTTCTTGCAAGATATAGTTTATTTTTTTCTATCAGCTTATTATTTTATTTAAATATTTTCCCAATACACTTCTCATAGAATTCTGACAGTGATATACTGGCCTTATTGTACATAGTCACTATCTTCAAAATTGCATTGCCAGAAATATACATTTTATAATTGTACTTTTTGGTAAGTGTTTTTATAAACAAATGACTCTAGCTTTATTAAGAAGTCTTGTTTAGGGGTGCCTGGGTGGCACAGTCACTTAAGATTCTAACTCCTGGTTTCAGGCTTGAGTCATGAAATAGAGTCCCACATTGGGCTCAGTGGGGAGTCGACTGTAGGATTCTCTCCCTCTACCTCTTCCCTCCTCACCCCTCGCTTGTGCACTTTCTCTCTGTAAAATAAAATAAATCTTTAAAAAAAGTCTTGTTTAGAAATGAAATACTTGGTCAGGTATATAAATATGAAAGGTAATTGAGTAAACTAACATTTGTGTTAACTTTTCCATTAAGGATCCTCTCACATACAAATTAAAGGAATCAAATGAGATAGACTTTCTTTCAGCTTCAAACTCTAACCTCATGCATCTGAGTGGCTCAGTGGTTGAGCATCTGCCTTCCGCTCAGGTCATGATCCTGGGGTCCTGGGATCGAATCCCACATCAGACTCCCAGGAGGGAGCCTGCTTCTCCTTCTGCCTATGTCTCTGCCTCTCTCTGTGTGTTTCTCATGAATTAATAAATAAAATCTTAAAAAAAAAAAACCTCTAACCTCAATTGAATAACAATGTGCTAAAACTGAGCACTTTGTCAGACACATTTTTCAGCATAACCCTTAAGGTAACAGAATCTCCATTTTACAAATGAGAAAAGTGAGACCTAAAATAACTTGCCCGAGGCCACAGAAGTGAATGAGATGCAGTTTACAAACAGGTCTTCTAATTTCCAAAATGCCATTCTACTTCCTAAATGCCAGAGATTCAAGTTTAGAGAGGATTCATTTTAATAACGTTCACCTGCTTTCATAGAAACCAGATCAAAAGGGAAAGTTTAAGAAAAAAAAAAAAGATAATTCACCTCATTACTAACCTGAGATTTTTACCAATTAAAGCCCAAGAACTAAGTCATAATTCATGCCTCTAACTCCATAAAGATGCTCAAAAGAATTTTTTTCAAATTAAGAATACATTTAGTTCAGTCCTTTGAATTATTTTTTATATACAAGGATGATCAAAGTATAGACACAGCTGTAACAGCTGAACCAAATTTATTAGATCCTTGGCTTATCCTGACCCCAGTAGAATGTTTTTGTTCTCCTAAATCTTTCAATTATATTTGGTTACAATATGAATAATATATCAGTAAAAAAGCCAACTAGCCAAGATTCATGAAGTTTGCATTCTAATTCTGACTTTTCCACTGAGTTGCAAGTCCTTCAGGAGCCTTGTCATTTTCATCTGTAAACACTGCTATAAATATAAATATACCCAGCAATTATATTCACATTTACAAGTATTTTCATAATCAGGCAATATTTTAAATTTAATTTAATACAACAACATCAAAGGAACATTTATTATTGCCTACATTTTGCCAAAGCAGATATAGGTCCATAGAAGTTAAGTGATTTGGGAGAGGGGCGCGTGGGAGAGGAAGGTCGCGAGGAGGGCCTCTTGCTGCTCAGGAAATGTCTTCCCTTTCAGAATATGCCTTGCGCATGACTCGTCTGAGCGCCCGGCTGTTCGGTGAAATTGCCAGGCCTACTGACTCCAAATCAATGAAAGTGGTGAAACTGTTTAGTGAGCAGCCTTTGGCCAAGAGGAAGGAGACTTATGACTGGTATCCAAATCACAACACTTATTTTGCACTCATGGGGACACTACGTTTCCTTGGCCTCTATAGAGATGAGCATCAGGACTTCAAGGATGAGCAGCTGCGTCTCAAGAAGCTTCGTGGCAAAGGAAAACCTAGGAAAGGAGAAGGGAAAAGAGCCACAAAAAAGAAATAGTGCTGGTCCATCAGAAGAGAAAAGTTCTTCCTCAGCAGCTGACCACAGAAGAAGGTGTATTTATCTTTCTACTTGCTGGAGGAGTGTGAGCTTCTGAGACTGAAGAGTATTTGGAGGAACATGATCATTTCTGTGTTGAAGTCCAATTCAGTCGAGTTGTAACTGGTTCCTTGGACACTTTCTAATTCTGCAAAGTTACTCTGGCTTTGGTTTTATACTGTGAGGTTTACCTCTTTCTCTGGAGAAATGAATGCATAGGTGGTTGAAGACAGACTCCTTTGGGGTGGGAATGGAAGGTTGGGATCATGGGAGGAGACTCATTAAATGAGCATCGTTTCATCTCCCCAGGATCCCATTACACCAGCCCTTACCTCTGCCATCCCTCTGGCCCTTCAACCACTGTCTCCACCACCAAGCTCACAAAGTTTCTGAACCGTCCACGTCTCCTTGGAGAGTAGAATCTACTGAGCTAGATTTGGGGGAAAGGCTGTACCTACTAAGAGAGTACTGAGTGTACACTACCTATTGTACATAAGGTACTGGGGCCCTAGTAATACCATGGTTAGCAAGAGAAAACAGTCCCTACCTCATGGAACTTTGAGGGTTGTGTGAAAGATTAATATCATTACATAAATAAAATTGTTTAAATGCTACAGAGGATCCCTAGGTGGCTCAGCAGTTTAGCACCTGCCTTCGGCCCAGGGTGTCATCCTGGAGTCCCAGGATCAAGTCCCACATCAGGCTCCCTGCATGGAGCCTCTTCTCCCTCTGCCTGTGTCTCTGCCTCTCTCTCTCTCTCTCTCTCTCTCTATCTATCTATCTATCTCTATCTCTCTATCTCTCTGTCTCTCATGAATAAATAAATAAATAAAATCTTTAAAAAAAAAAAAAAGAAGTTAAGTGATTTGTTCAAGGTCATATGACAGCCAAGGAAGAATGGGAATTATTTGAGGAGCTTCCCACAGCATTGTACCCAGACAGTTGAACTGGAGGAAATTTCACTTCTATTATATAATGTTATCTGTACAACTGGTAAAACCTTGTTCACTCAACTTCCTCAATTACAGATTTTTTCATTTGCATATTTTTTAATAACTCTTCTCTGTGTAAGGCTTAAAACAACCTTAAGTCACTACCAGCTTTAAACTTCATCAGTCCAAACAGTGAGGCCTATGCAAATTGCTATGGTAAGGCAAAGTCAAAGAGATAAAATAAATAAAACATATCTTTCATAAACAATCTTACAATTTAGTACAAGCAATAAAGTGTTATAGAAATCAAAGTTTCCACATTGTCAAGAAAGAGATATAGGTCGGGGATAGCAAACTCAAATACCAGACAGAAAACAAAGAGACTCAGAGGGCTGGAGAGTGACCACCAAAGCTGACATCTCTTTCCAGGAAGAAGCCTAACTTGGTTCGAGCCAATCACTGCCATGATAAACATGGTCCCAGTGTTGCCAGCTTTAGAATGCCAGTGTTGGCAATCTAAGGAATGCCAAAAGTCTGGATTTTGGTGAAATTTTATGATTTTTAAATGTTAACAAAGTATAAGTAAGGAATAAAGAAGGAAAGAAAGTTTCTCAACTTCCACACAGCCAGGTCTCAAAAAGACTGGAATGCAGTTCAGAATATGCAGCAGTTCTACAGGGGCCTGGTCACAATGATAGCATCAGTGGCCACGTATATTTTCCCTAGCACTGGTATCTAGTGTGGTACTAAGAGATAATGGTCAAAACATTTAACTCTTATTATAGCTGACAAAAATAAAAAACACTTTTATTATATCTACTACATGTCATCTCTCTTCTAAATCCTTTGTATATATCAATTCATTTAGTCTCAAAACAAGCCCTTTTAGATTATGAGGATAACTGAGTCAAAGAAAGACTAATTAACTGGCTCAAAATCACATTTCTCATAATTGGCAAAGATTTGAACCCAGGCAATCAGCTCCAGAGTACGAGCACTTAATGTATCCCTAACGAGTACCATCAGAATATCCCTGCATCACTGCTGGGGTGCTGGGAAGCTAGGGCAAGGTTCTAGAGAGCCCCTACAGGGCCAGATCTTAACTCTTTAGTGGATGGATCGTGAAAACTTACAAAGGCCCAAGAGGATTAGTTGGCTAGATACAGAAGTTAGGAGGCTTGGGAGGAGACAAGGGACTCTTGTCAGCACCTGTTTACCAACTAGTTTAGAAACTTTTCACCAGATGTGCCTGGGTGGCTCAGTTGATTAAGCGTCTGCCTTTGGCTCAGGTCATGACCTCAGGGTCCTGGAATCCAGCCCCATGTTGAGCTCCCTGCTCAGTGAGGAGTCAACTTTTCCCTCTCCCTCTGCCCTTCTCCCACTCATTCTCTCTCTCTCAAATAAATAAATAAAATCTTTTTTAAAAAATAAAAATAAATTTTTCATCATTTGTCAGGCATTCAATAACATAGTTCCAATTTACAGATCTCCTGGTTGCTCCATCATGTTGGATAAGCAGTGCCTGATGTATATAGTAACTACTAAACAGATGTTAATCCTGATTATTATTACAGAGGCACTGTGCATTACTGGAGATCTCTGTTGGGAAGATATCTCATTCTAGGTTACCACATGCGCCCCTGACTCATGGGAGCTGGCTCTCACTGAGTCAAGCACTAATCCTTTATCTAAAGAGCTCTAGATTTGGGGCACCTAGGTGGCTCAGTGGTTGAGCATGTGCCTTCCGTTCAGGTCGTGATCCCGGGGTCCTTGGATGGAGTCCCACATGGGGCTCCCTGCATGGAGCCTGCTTCTCCCTCTGCCTATGTCTCTGCCTTTCTCTGTGTGTCTCTCCTGAATAAATAAATAAAATCTTAAAATAAAAATAAACAGCTCTAGATTCTGAACGATAAACTAGAGGAACCCCTCAGAGAGATTAGGGTATGTCAAGCAGTCTGAGGGTCGTCAGAGAGGGTGCTGTGACCTATATACTCATGCTTAGACTCTACAGCACCGCTATTATTAAACAGGCAGACTATTTTACAAATAGTCTTCAGACAGCCAGGGAAACTAGGGCAAGCTTTAAAATGAAGAAAGGACACTTAAGCTGAAGATAGAGGTGAAGTAAACCAGGTTGGAAGAACCACAAGCATAAGCACAGATATTCAATTTCATTTTGATAGCATAACATAAATATGCAAATCTAATTCTTGCTTAATTTAGACAATATCAAAATTCTACAACAACAGGTTGATCCTGACTTGATTTGACATTTCCAAAGGAGAAGCTTTTCTCACTTCAGAAATGTTTCTGCTATCATCCCATTAGAGGACCCCTTTGTCTCATACATGGGACTGGCCTTAAAGAATGTTTCATATCACAAGAATTTTTCACAATTCATGTTTTCCTCATCACATTGTTTCTTTTTGAAAGCTGTTATATGGTTTAGTATAAGTTTGTCATTTTGCATTTCAACTCAGTGGCTTGATCAAATTAACTAAAAAGAGACTTCACCTAAAGGGATCCTGCCAACCATTAAATTTAGACCCTATTTTGACCTAATAAGTTTCCGTTCCATGTATTAACCGGTGTTATTTAGATTCTAAATATCACTGACTTACTCATTTGCTTTTCATTTTGTCTAATGGCCACCTTTTTAATATCAATACTTTAAAAACCTTTGTTTTACCCTTATATACTGGCTATAGTCTGAAGCATAATCATTAATGGATCTACTAAACATTCTGATTTCATTAATGATAAGGGTGTGTGACAAAGAGAGCAAGCCAAAAAGAATCTTATCAAGTTTTAACCTCTGTTAGAAATAATGGGAAAAAAGTATCTATCAATGATTACCAAATGTAAAAGAATATGAAAGTGCCTTCAGTTTCCTTAAAGTGTGCTCTTCAAAGAAAAAGGGGGAAAAAATGTATTCAAAATATTTATAGAAGAGATACTTCAAAGAACACAGTGCAAACTTATGTCAACTAATCTAAAAATATCCATACTGATTTACCACTATTTCTTCTTCTGGCAATTTGTTCTAAGAATATAATACAAAATATATAAAGTTATATGTGTGTCCAATGCCACCTTTGTTATGATAAAAACTTGAAAGCAGCACACAATGAAGTGGGAAGATTTAAATACATTGTGGTAGTTCTACTCAGGAAATTCACCATTTAAAAATGAATGCTTACATTTCCTATTTTTGTCACCTGGATTACAATAGTTACATAGTGGTTCTCCCTCCATTCTCCACTTCTACCCATCCTTCAGGGTACTACCCAGGGTACTTCTTTATTTTCAAAAAAATTCTATTTATTTATTTGAGAGAGTGAGTGAGCAGACAGGCAGGAGCAGAGGGAGAGGGAGAAATAGACTCCCACGCTGAGCAGGAAGCCAGACAGACTCGGGGCTCGATCCTAGGACTCAGGATGGTGACCTGAGCCAAAGGCAGACACTTAACAGACGGACCCACTGAGGCACCCCACCACGGTGCTTCTTTAAATCACAATTTTGGTCTTATTATTTCTCTGCTTGGGATACTTTCACAATTTTGCATCACCTCAGAAAAAATTTAAATTAGTATTCTCTGAGGCTCTGCAAAGGCCAGTCTCACTGATCCCTGCAGATTCCGTAGCTGGCCATTTTTATGCACAAACTTTATCTCCATCCATGCAAAACCAGTTTTATCATTCCTCTGACTCAACCAAAAGGCAATGATTAGCCTAACTATTATGGTTCCTTAAGTGCCAAGAATATGTTTAGGTGTTCTTCTAGAATTAATAATCACTGCAGCTGGGGATCCCTGGGTGGCTCAGCGGTTTAGTGCCTGCCTTTGGCCCAGAGCGCGATCCTGGAGACCCGGGATTGAGTCCTGCGTCGGGCTCCCTGCATGGAGCCTGCTTCTCCCTCTGCCTGTCTCTCTCTCTCTCTCTCTCTCTATCATGAATAAATAAATAAAATTTTTAAAAAATAATAATAATAATCACTGCAGCTATAAAACATGGAACTACTTATAACCCAAAATGCACTTGGGCAATCTAGGATAGAGATCATATTGATCAGACTATGGTAATGGCTGTAAGGATGGTGAAAATGAGCATACTACAGATATATTTGGGAAGTAAATTTGGCAGTTTGGAGATTGACTTGATATAGGAAGTGCAAGAGATAGAGGGTCAAAGGTGATAGTCAGGTTTCTGACTTGGGAACCCAGAATGAGGAGGACACCTGAGAGATGAGTTGCTAAGTTCTGTTTTGAGTGCATGGAATGTATGATAATTGTGTCATCTGAAAGCATCCAGCAAGCATTGGCCATGTGGGTCAGAACCCAAAAGATAAAATGCAAGGAAAGAAAACTCCTGAAAGTGCTTGGAATCATTAAGAGAAAGAGCAGAGATTGAGAAAATAAGAGAACAAGATAGAACTGGGAAACAACAATATCTAATAAGTAAATATAGGAATGGAGTCCCAAAAAGTAATCAGAGAAAAAAATGATAAGAAAGAGAAAGAAAAAGTTGGGGCAGAGTGGTTTCACTGATAGCAAGAGATAAAGCTGTCTTAAAATAAGGGAGCACCAATAGGCCTACTACTGAAATGATAAACAAGGTTGGTATTAAGACCAATTCATTGTATTTTGTGACCCAGGTCACTAGAGGCATTGGTAAAGGCAGGTT